TTTTTACAAAAGTATGCTTTGTACAGCATTATTTTTGTAAGACCTCAAGCAGCTGGCTTACCCTGGCAGTCCCCACAGCTCCTTGCTTGAAGCCTTGTACCCAGTAAATGTTTGATGAATTGAACTAGTCAATTGCCTGTGTCTTAATGTATTTCACTTCATCCTAGAAGGTTTCCATGGCTGCATTTGGAAGGTTAACAAATGCAACATAGTCATCCTTCCCTGCTCCACCTATGCTCTAGTTCCCTCTGGCCACACTTGTTTCTCTGTTCCATTGGGTTTTATGAATATCTCTTAACAAACTTGAACTGAGTGCCTACTGGTTTGGGGGGCCGTGCTATATAGTCCTTCACCTCCTGACCATCCCCTCTGTCAGTCCCCCCAGCCATAAAACTTTGCTGAAGAAGTCCATCACATCACTCAAGCCGACACATGCCAATGCACCCACTCTAAATTCACCCGGGCTAGCCTTTCTGTGGCTCTGAGGTCCCTAGGGCCATGTCTTGTTGGTCGTCTAGCAACCACAGGCAGCTGTAGCAATCCTTCATTTTCCTGGAACCTCGCTTGCCTCTGTCTACAGAAATGACCTTGATGAGAAGACCGAGGCCTTCCAGTGGAGCTTTCTCATCCCCTTCATCTACTTCTATTTTTCTCTCAACACTCCTCCAAGGAAGAGATTCTCCTCTCCATTTCCCCGTCTATACCTTCAATCCTTTCCCTGACCCTAGCCTATCTCCCATTGCTAGGCTTAGCTTACGCTGTTTGCTGTGCCTGAAATGCCCTTCTCACCTCCTTTCTCACTGGCTCACTCTCTATTGTCCTTTAAGGTCAAGTTGGCTTGCCCCTGCTCTTATAATTCCCTCTAGATACCTGTATCACTCACTTACCACATTGCTTTATATCTTTGGCGGGAAAATAACATTAATAATGCATTAGTATTCACAGTCGCTTTCTCCCCTCCGGCCTCTAAAGAGGATTCTGTCTGTGCCTATTAGGTTCCCAGATCACTGCGCAGTATCAGCATGGTAGGTGAAAGGTGGGATGGCGAAGGGCTTAGCCCTGAGTGATTTGCTTTACTTTGGATAGGGTGAGGGGTTCCCTGCACATGAAAGCAGATGGGTTTTAAAAGAGGGCAGGAGAAAGTGAAGAGAGAAGAGCCAGGGTGGGGTGGATTAGGGAGGAGTTGGAGGAAGTTTGGAGGGAGGGAGAAGAGAAGCTTTAGGGCAGAGGGAGAAAAATGCCCTAAGTGAACAGGTGAATACCTTTCCTCTAGTATTCTGATACCATACAGTGAC